AAAAAATAAAAAAATCGAAATTGAGCATTAAGACCTCCAGTGTGAACGTAGCCTTATTCAAAGAAAAGAGCATCTCATTATACCCAACTGTGAGTCTGAGTAAAGGGAATCTACATCACATGTACGGTTTTTCCCAAAGCATTTTCTTTTTTTCAAAAGATGTAAGAGGGTGGGAAGCCAGCAGTGGTATTAATAGAAGACAAACAGAAGATCCCTTCTGCAAAGTGCTCTTCTGATTGACGCTGATTGAATCTAGAATAAAATAAAGTTCAATCTCAAGGACATAAAATACCCCTGCAAAACATTTCTAAACTGCTCTAATGACTGAGTGTTGCAAAGAAACACAAAGCCCTTTGATAAAATGTTGGGCAGTATGGTACTTGAGGAAAGTGGAAACAGGTCACAACTGTATGGTATAAATGTATTTCTGCTGGTGCATTGAGCAGAGGCAAACTTAATACTGGACCCAAGAATGAAACTAAATGTGCCATTATCATTCATGAGTGATTGTAGATGCTGGACATGTATGCCATTATCATTACAGACCCTTCTAAATATAAAATTCTTAACACATGCAATATTGGGGGCTAAAGGTTAAGTTAAAGTAGACTGAACAACCCATCCTAAGCTAAGTGTTGACAGCACATTGTTAAATTTCTTAAGCACAACTCCAACTATGGCCTTCAGCAATCATCTAATGAAGGGTAATAACACAGAAGATAAGATAGAGAAAAGGAGGGAAGTGAACTTCAAAGAACACTGGCACAAGCTGGTACACAACTCTATCATGATTAAGACATGGGTATGTAGGAAATAAATGTCTGAAGGGCCATGTAGTGTGTAAGATAATAAAGACTTTTTTCATGCCATGTTCTTAAAGTAGAAGATTAGGCAGTTTCTCATGGCTGCTTTTCAATAAGGGCAGCTGCTGTGTCCTTGCCCCATTGCCTCCTGGGAGCCTTTATGCAACAAGGTTATTGAAAACTAGCAAAGGGTAACAGCTCTTTCAATTCTGGATGTGTACCAGTGTCAGTACTGCCTAGTACGAACTACACTGTCATTCCCAAAACCAGGAAGTGTGCCCTGTTGCCAGGTAACTTACTACAAACCACTGGCAACCAAATCAGCTGCATTAAGCAGACACAAAAGATAGCAAACATATTTAGAGTTTCTTTGTTTAAAATGGTGACGTTCATCTGGTCTCCTTTGTAGTAATTGTGATACGGCAGGCAGCTTTCCAACACCATAACATTGGCGTTCACAATGAGGCCAAGATTTGCATGTATTTTTGCAGTCCCAGTTAAGTGTTGTATAAAAGTTGTTGTGAGTTATTGTTCAGTGCAGACCATTGGGGTCAAGTTGCTTGTGGAACACAGCATTGTTTTTGAATTATTTATTACGGCCTTGTGGTGGTATAATTTAGTATGATCCCTGACGTCATATCTATACAAAACAACCGTAAGGGTTTCCTTGCAAGGATATGATTCTGAGTTTTGTCTTCTACTATAACAACTGAGTGGAGTACAATTTAGTGAGCATAACTAGTGTCAGTTGAACACATGTTTTTAAGCGAATAGATTGAGGTTTTAAACACTGAAAGCAGTGAAAAAGAAAAGGATGAAGATTCGATGCTGTTGCCTGATTTGCCATGACTTACTTTAAAATATTAGTAAAGCAACTTTCTTTCTATGGCTGTTTATTGCATTTATCTACCCATGAGGCAATTTTCTAAATTAAACTGAGATATAGCTGATTATATCTGATTATAAACCATTAAACCAGTTGGTCAATATGTCCAATTGCTTTAAAAGCCTTTTGCATGAACACACTTGGTATTTACTGTAAGCATTTTTAAGCAAAGATATTTATCTCTAAGTGTGGCAGTTCAGTACTTTTCTTTGTTAAAAAAAAATCTGGGCTTGGTTTTAATAAATAACACCATACAGGTATGTGGAGTAGACTTTGTGACAGAGTGAGTCATTCTTTGCCAAGGGTTTGGTTTCAAATTCTGTACTGGGAATATTTCCCACACAACCTAAGGCCCATATCTAACTTGTTTAGTTCTACTGCAAAAATCAAGAATCACGTCTTAGGCCGCACACTCTTTACAACTTGAATTACTCATAAGCCAGGCCTTGGATGACTCTGGCAGGCTGCTTCATCAATATATAGTAGCTGGAAAAAACAAAAAAACAAAACCTACAATGAAAGAAAAAAATAAATAAATATTGTGAGCGTCACCTGGGGGATCATTTACTAAGCAAACAAATTAGCCTAACAGCCTCAGAATCTCGACTCAAGACACAGTTTCTAGTGATTACAAGTCACAAATGGGAACAAATCAAACCACAAGCTTGCAATCCCTCAAGTTTAAAAACAGGAAGGAAACAAAGACGTCACCACAGACATGAAAACTGTTAAAAGTGCGAAAAGGTACCACAAAAGACATGTAACACCATCAGCAATTTTATTAACTGCTGGAGCTGCAATTCTGGGTTGAGTTTTGGCACTGATTATGTTCTTCTTCTCATTGTTTAACAAGGCCATATTTTTTTAGTTAACATCAACAAAACCATACACTTACATATATATGCCCACTCAATGTGGGATTTTCTGAGCGATAGAAATGCATGCCTTCATTCACTTAAAGTTATAACCTGTTTCCATATTATGGCAAAGTCTGGCACACATTTAAGCCACAGTGATTGATAACCATAATTTGTATAGCCAAAAAAACCAAAACAAGACACCTTTATGACATTCCTCTTTAGTTTTGGACTCTGAATTCTGACGTCTCACTGTTAGCGTTTTGGCCACTGCAATGCTAGTGTTTTGAAACCGGGACTTACCATATTTGGAGAAAGGGTGGAGTGTTAACTTATAAGCTAACGTTGGCTAACAAGCTGCCTCCAGAAACTGTAATGTTACAGTGCACAGACACAAGTATCTGCTAATTTACTAAGACACAGGCTAATAATATACTAGTATTTAACTCTGGCTGAGGGAAAAAAAAACTTCCTGCCCTGTAACCCTAACAGCTATTTGTCTGATAAAGGCCCAGTTCACAGACTAAACTTAGATGAGGTGAGGCCTCCCAAACACCAATCGGCTACAGTTTTCTATGTCAAGAAAACTGTCAGTCAAAGCGGTCAAACCCCTTTTTCCACTATGCATATAGACAAGTTAAAGGAGAGGGAACTACCCATAAAGGCCAAAACTGTTCTTTTTAGAGTTATTATTGTTGTAAGGTTGGATATTTTAAGGATATTTTAAAATAAGAGTCTGTGGAGATACATGTGCTTTATATGCCAACCTTGAGGGACTGCTAGAAGAACTGCAATGTTTTGCAGCCACAGGGGCTTGGTTTTTTTTGTTTTGTTTTTTTTATGAGAGAGGATAGGAAATCTGTGTAGGTATTGTTTTACTCTTTTATCTATCACTACAAGCCTATATCACACGATCACAAATCTGCTTACAGCTTAAAAAAAAAAGCAATGGCCATTTCATGTTAGGATCTATTCCTTTTTTTTCTTCCCTACAAGAAATAAATAAGGTTGAGGTTGCAATCTAATTTCTACTAAGTAACAAATTACACTCATGCTAAATGTGGAAAGAAATTCAGCTAAAGCATATTTTTCATCCCGATTAAAGAAAACATCATTTTAAAAAAATGGATGCTTGCAAACACAGCCTTGCTCTTAACACAAAGACGACATGTTTTTATGAGAACTATCTATCTATCTATCTATCTATCTATCTATCTATCTATCTATCTATCTATCTAGCACTTCAAGTGGACTTAGCTTTAGGGTCACAAGATAAGATATGATATTTGTGGTACAGTGTTTATGGCCTGATTACAGAGCCAAAAATAGATACCTTGTGAATATAAAGGCTTTGACTCTTAACCAGTGTTTACGGTAATGGCAGCTTGTCAGTTAAATTGCATCCCCTGGTTCTGATTCATCTGAGAAGATTTGGGGTGGCTATAATCAATTTTTGTAAAGTGCTCAGTTGAAAAAAGGCAGAGAAAAGGCACCATGCACAGTCAAGGTTGCTTCAGAGACAAATGGTCTGTGAATACGCTTTTTAGCTTGTAAGATATAAATTCAGTGAACATGAATCAGAGACATGGCTGAGGCAGAGCAGGGTAGCAGCCACTTTGAATCGTTCAGAGCCCATTTTAAGTAGTCAAGGGATAATTGGAGGCTTAAGGTCACCACTGTCCTCTGCTGCTGTCAGCCTACACATTCATCTAGTCTCATTTTTTTAATTTGCCTTTCTTCGACTTTCTGTACTTTCCTCATTCCTTCTGCTCACACTTTCTGCCAATGCTCATCTATCATTTTTACTGTGTGTCCTTGAGCTGCATCCTAACAAGTAAGCTACCCAAACCAGGTGGACCCTCTTCCTGTCCTCTCCCCTGAGATACTGGGCTTCTTGCCCAGACAGTGAGGCAGTATCCTCCCTGGCTACAGACTGCTGCTCAGTCAGGCCCCTGATGTCACAGGCAAGTGACAAGCTGCTGGCTCTCATAATTTAAAAAAGAAAAAAGAAAAAAAGATGGCTCAGGACAATACAGTGTTCTGTAGAAAGCAGAAAGCCAGGAGAAATTGATGGTAAAGACAGTATAAAGAAGAACACAAACAGTAAGGGGGGGGGGAAGCAAGCTGCTTCTGAAACATCGCTCAGGACAATACTGCAAGGTAGAGGTAGGGCCCCACTGTGCTGAAGACTACATATCCAGACTGCTGTATCAGGTTGCTTAGTCATCATTGTAGCAGGGAGTGAATATAGCTCTTAAACATCTTCACCACATGACACTGGCAGATCTGATGAGTAATCTTCCTGAACAGCAATATTGATTTGCCCTCTCACAGACTGAGCTGAGCTATTTTGAGCAAACTAGTTAAGTCTGCATACCAGAGTCATCATTAATGCACAACACAAGTAGGGTGGCCTAGGGGTCAAAGATGATGCTTTAAGATTATGGTTGGTTTGCTTGACAACTTCCATTCAATATGATTTATCTGTGCAATCTACCATCTGATCACCAGGAAAACTGCACTTTAACTCAACTCTTTTGATTCAAATGTGCCGTCTATGAACTGTAATTCTGCGTTTTTTTCATAATGTAATTATTCACCTGAAAAACTGTCTGTTACCTGATGTAGGAGAGAGACTTATAGAATTTGGGTAAATAAGGTAACACTAAATCAGGTATTTTCAGAAAAGGCTGCACTCATACTGACAGGTCACGTGGAGCTTTCGCATAACATCACACTCACCTAATTTCATCAAAGAGGCAAGGAGGACCCATAATGAGATTTCAAACGGGACCCGTACGTTTTCGTAGTTCAAGTCTAGCACAGGGAAAGCCTTTCCAGTGTTGTTGTGACTGCCATGGTCAGTCGCTTTGTGGCTGCCCGAGTGTGCCGTGATAGGAGAATGCTGGTCGGAGCTGGCAACAGCGACGGTAAACACGGAGCCATCCAGAAACACTAAAACCATCACCAAGAACAGTCCACGAAGCCGGCCCGAAGCCCCGTGTGACACAGTCCTGGAAGGCATTACTGCTGAAAAATAAAGGCGACCTTGAATGAAAATGAATCAGAGTTTGTTTGGTTTTTTTAACAAGTCGGCTTGAAAAACCGGGCAAGTTTAAGGAAGTTGTGCCAGTTATCGCTTCGTAGTGTCGCGTTAGTTAAAGCTCGTCAACCGTAGAAGATTCTGACAGTTAGTTCGTCAAACTGACACTGAAGCAAAGCGAAACCGAACCAGACCCCTCATTATGTCAGTTAACGTTAGCTAGCTAGACTTCTTCGCTTGTTGTAGCCAGGTAAACAGCCGCTTCCAGCACAAGTCGTTGCGGAAAGAAAGCAGGAAACGCCAAGATGCTGAAAGAGTGTCTTTTTTCCTTTTACAACAGTCCAGTGCCCTCAGTTGCTCTTCGTAGCGGCGTTTCACAAGTTTGTCCGTTTCCTTGTCATTGACTATCAACGTCTTCTTCGGTGGAAGATGTCATCGTTGATGCTGGAGGTAAACGAGGCACAGCGGCATCCCTTCAGCGTTTCCTCTCTCCCCCTCCTACCTAAGACAGTCGTCCGTGCGGCGGCCGTGCTCAGATACTGACCTTGAATAGAAGCTACACGGCAGCTGCCACATTATGTGTTTACCGTGTGCCCCGACTACACCAACTTTTTTTATATTAACCTTCGTGTGTTCCGCATCTCCACGGTATGTCCGGAGAGACTAGACCCTGTGCTGAGCTCAGACGGAGGATCCGAGGGGTGGGGGTACTTGTGCGTATGCTCCCCCTCTGCCTCGGAGGCTTTTTTTTCCCGGGGTGTCAAACCAAGTGGCGACTTGACTTGTCTGCAGCTGTATTATAGCCTCATACAGCCTTCAAAAAGCACACCCTTTCGCGGAGCTTTAGTGGGTGGGATGAGGAGTAGACTAAAGTGGGGTGGGGGGTGGGGGGTGGGGCGTCCGCATATAGTGACACCTATAGGAAAGGAGGTTTAAGGTGTGGGATCTCCACAGCGTTTCTCCTCTGCACGCCTACTCTTGAATGGGCTGTGTGGAGCCTGATATTGTTGGCATGTGGGTGCAGCTGAAAGGCCAAAGATCAGAGTTAACTACAAACAAGAGTTCAGAAAGCATTGTTCATTAGGGATGCTTCAAATAAAACCATAGTGTTTTGTGCCTTTGCCTTAAGCCAAATAAAGTCTGGGGATGCAATTTTAGTTCTCAATTGAAGCATGGTGAGCAGTGATATTTATAATACATAATTAGTAATGTGATAGCTGCATAGTGAAGGGTCAGTGGCCAATTTCAGCTGCCAGCTGCAGCCCACAGAGGTCTCAATATGCCATTCAAGGACACATATCTAGAGTGCATGCTTGCTATTGTGAGAAATGTAGTTGTAAAAAAAACAAAACTCTCTCTGTGGGAGTGGCTATGCAAGTTACAAATAATGACTCAGCACTTTTCTAGTGATTTTCCAAACACACCTGTCAGATTTAGCAACATGTAATTTCCTGCTGCATCGCAACGGTTGCTTCTGTTTGAGTTTCAAACCCAGTCTTTCTGTGCTTAAAGGATACCCTGATGGAGTTGACACACGACCCTCAGTGCATAAAGAAAGCTAGAAGGTAGTTCATTTTTGTCAAATGGACGAATTACAAAAAAAGACTAAAGAACCAATCCATAAAATTTGCGGTAGATTGTTTTTTTTTAAAAACTTATTTACTTTTTCACTTTTTTACTAAAGAGTCACAAAAGTTAGGTCACGCTAAAACAGGAAATGAAAAGCGACATGAGCTGATTGTAGATTTGCGCTCATGTAACTGGACATTTAGATAAGGAACTTTCCAGTGATAAGAAGATGTTAATTTTCTACGTCCAACCTGCAAAACAAAAGTAACTTAGATCACGTCTAGTCTGTCAGAATGATTGTGAGTGTGCCATTAATAAGGTATGGTTACTGCTGATAACAGTGTACTGCATTACACCCACCACTTAAACTCTGTTTCAGTCAGAGTTCAGGTGACAAAGCGTCTGTGCTGTTTGTCGCTTATTTCTTAATATCTTTATAACACTTTATAACTATAAGGCGTTGGTTTTTACAGCTCTTTGTTGTGGCTTCTATGGCGCTTCATGGTTTCTGTCAGTTACTTACATCAGGGGGACCACAGAACCTGCTTCTGCTTTACTGTGGCTAACAGACTTTGTGGTGGCAATAGATCACTGATTTCCTCTCTGGTACTAAAAGTATACATTATATACTATGTGTATGTACTACTGATCTTTGTAGGATGCTGTAATTGGTATTAGTATGCAAGTTTTAAACACAAAATATTTGGTTTTGTCCCAGTAGGGGAAGCACAGATAATAAACACTAAATACTGATGACTAAATTTAATTTAGCTGTGTTTGGTTTCAGTTTTCTGGTTACTTGGATTGGTGGCTCACTCTCACACTGTCACAGTTTATTAATAAGCCACTAATAATATTTCCACTTCTTTTCTTATTATGCATAGTGAATGAATGTCTGCTGTGAGGAAATTTTATTTTCTTTGGAACTAACAAGCACATCCATTAGAGGATTTACTATACATGATGATTGTTTTGAATATAAATACTTTCATCACTTTTTCCACTGCAAATGCAGCAAAGGCTGTTTTGTATATTATGTAGTATGGAGCTGGATGTCTGTGTAGGTTCTCAGTCATCCATTCATGGTACTCTTAAGAGCTTAAAAAAAAGAACATGGACTTTTTAAAGTTTCTGAAGACATCTCACCTCACCAGAAATCCACAAAGATGCACAGAAAAAAAAAGTCAGATACCAACTAGGGAGAAACTGAATGACAAACCAAACAACATTGCCATTGCTTATGTAGCAGGTTTGTTTAAGAAACTGAGGAGAATTCTCTCCAACCATGACATCCCCGTGCACTTCGGATCCAGCCATGCCATTAGACAAAAATGTTTTGTCAACTCAAAGACAAAACTCCCAAATACAAGCTAAACAATGTAGTGTGTGCCATGCAGTGACAAGTGCTTGGATGTCTAAATAGCAGATTGCAAACAGCCACTCCACAAGTGCATGGACCAATAAGACATATGGTTTGAGAGAGGAGTAAAAGAGGCCATCTATATCCACTGTGGATGACCATTGCTGAACAGAGGTGGTGGCTTACAACACCAGCTATTAGCCACCTGCATACAATGCAGTCCTGAGATTCCTTCCCAGGCGCTTCATACCTTGCCTCAGGTGACTCCAATCACACACATGATTTTCTCACCTTGACTCGTGATGGCGCACACGATCAATAGTAGGTCAATGACCTCCTCCAAAGGGGAAAAACCTCACTGGGCACCATTTGTTTTTAGAATTGAAGAAGGCTCTTGGATGAGAGGTGAAACGTCTTCACAAACTTGTGTTTTTTTTTCATGCTCCTAAGATTATGGAACAGGATGTCAGTTTTCATTTTATTTACTTTTAGCATCTAAATTCGTTACAGCAATTGTGCTGAGCCACAGATAGCGGGTGAGAGAGAAGCTGAGTTTATTGATTTGCTAGTTGTATTTATAGTAATAGTTAGAGCAAGCCTGAGGATTCACTAAATGCACTTTTACTGTGTGGATTGTATTTTCAAATTTGTTTTCTATTCTAAAATTCAGATTTAGTAACTTTTCGAGAAGAGCAAAAGGAACAGAAACACACTGATTAATTCACAGCCCTTAAGTATTTGTAAAATTAAAGACTGCAAATTAATCAGTGTGCTCCGGCCCCCTTTGTCTTCTGAGAGATTGCTGTCCTTGAGCTGAGAAGCAGCGAATTTAGACACATTTAGTTGGAAGAAGTCTTGAAGCCTTGTTTTACTGGTACTACCCAATTCATTATACACTGTAATTTCTGACAACTTTTAATTGTTTAATAATTAAATTATTGCTATGAATATGAATGTGTACAAACATCTGTACATCTTTACTAATGTAAACAGTATGTAGTGTTGTTATTCTTGGTAGTCAAAAGTCAGACTCTGCAACAGAACATACCATACGAAGCATGACTTTCTGAAACAACTTGTAAATGAACTCCCTACAAAAACAGCAGTGACCTTTTATAACCGGTCAAGGTTAGAACTAAATTCATAACCTTTATCTGCCCTCTTTAGCTCTGTTGTGGTAAAGCTTGGTTGCCAAAAGCTTTGCTGTGTGAACCCACATTTCTACACCATGATTCCAAATGTCATCCAGCCCTTGGAGAAAATAATAGTGGGCAGGGTGCTGTGGTTAGCAGATATGAGGGAAATTACCCAGGAAGACGGTGCTAGCCGCATGGCCAGCCTATCGTACTGATGCTGAAACTAATTATAGCAAATAGATTATGTGCTTTAAGGCCACATGAACTGGAAGCCCTGGTGGTTCAGTGCTGTAGTTAAGGCCACTTTACACCATACAGCTGAAGCCAAAAATTCTAATATGATCAAAGATAAATTGTACTTGACTAAAATAAATCCTGTGCCCGAGGAAAAGGGAGCTGCATATTGAAAGCAGTTCATCTAAGATCAGGCAAAAACAATTTTATTGAACTCTACTGACCAAGCCTGCAGTCCAAAGCTTGTTTGCTTTTCCTTTTTGGTAGACCTTCTTTCATATACTTGTAGCTAAAGAAAGTACAGTCTCAATGATAGAAGTCAATTTTTCTTCTTCTGAACTGTGCAATTACACAATTTTCAATCGTAAAACTCTACCAGCTCACCCTGACACTAAAATTGTTTATGTATCTGCTTTGAAGTTTCTATTTTCTGCGTTTATCTGCATGGCGCTACTCACTCTGCTTTTACCCGCAAACCACTTAATGTGGAGCAAAACAAGTCAATTATTGCAAGGCAGCATTTGAACCTCTGAAGAAGAAAAAAAAAAGCTGTAACTTTTACCATTTCCACTGGATTTAAAAACAAGGCAATTGAGAAGTTTCGTGGTTACTTTTTCATTTGTTTGCGTTCATTTGGAGAAAAAATGACTCCAGCATAAAACCCTGAAGCATGTACAGATTTGATCAGATATGCACAACACAAACAGAAAAAATGGAATATTTAGGGCCATAAATCCCTGTTTACATAAATATCTGCAGTTTACAAAAGGTCATATTGAGTTAGAAAATCACATAAGAAATTCAGAGAAGTTTAGCTGTAAATTACTGTCTTAATATTCTACTCAGAAGCTGTCTGCATCACTGTTGCAGTCCTGGCTTCGGGCTGACCACTAATAAAGTGGCTTTGCTGTACAGGCTAGCAGGATCCACTGCTGTCACCTTCAGGATTTGTAAAGCTTCACCAGCAGCAACCTGGAATGAGACTTAGAAAAACAAATGGTGACATGATGCCACCTGGTATAAGCTGTGTAAATGATGACGAGCTCTGACAGCATGTCTGCCAGCAGAAATAGTGGCAAAATATTTTGATGGCTTGAATGGCACTCTGTTAGGGAGAGGTAGTTATTTAAGGATTCTCTAGGCTAAGAGCCATTTCTGAGATTGAGCTGAAGCATCTGGATAATGTCCAGTCCCCCCCC